AGCACTTTGGGAGGCTGAGGTGGGTGGATCACGAAGTCAGGAGTTCAAGACCAGTCTGGTCAACATAGTGGAACCCCATCTCTACTGAAAATAAAAAAAAAAAAAATTACTGGGCATGGTGGCGGGCCCCTGTAGTCCCAGCTGCTTGGGAGACAGGCAGGAGAATCACTTGAACCCAGGAGGCAGAGGTTGCAGTGAGCCAGGATTGCGCCACTGCACTCCAGCCTTGGTGACACAGTAAGACACTGTCTCTAAATAAATAAATAAAATAAAATCAGTGGAATTGCACCTTACTCAGGGATTAGTTTTTTATAATCAATGCATGAGGTGAAGACTAATCAAATTACTCTTGAAGCTTTTCAAATTTTGTTTTACTGATAATCTGCAGCCTTAAGACTTACTTGTGTTATAGAAAATGAGTTTTGGCCGGGCGTGTTGGCTCACACCTGTAATTTCAGCACTTTGAGAAACTGAAGCAGGCACATCACATGAAGCCAGGAGTTTGAGACTAGCCTGGCCAACATGACAAAACTTTGTCAAAATTTTTTTTAAAACATTAGCTGGGCATGGTGATGCATGCCTGTAGTCCCATCTACTTGGGTGGCTGAGGCATGAGAATCACTTGAACCTGCGAGACAGGTTGCACAGTGAGCCGAGATCATGCCGCCGCACTCCAGCCTGGGTGACAGTGATACGCGCCCCCAAAGTTTTTTGTATTTTTTTCTTTTAAGAGATAGGGTCTTGCTACGTTGCTTAGGCTAAACTCGAACTCCTGGGATTACAGGCGTGAGCCACTGTGCCTGGCCTCAAAGTTAAAAAAAAAATGCAGTTTAGAAGCTGAGCTGCACTCTGCTGAAGTGCTTCTGTCACCTTGTTCCCGGAGGCCACAAATAATGAGCAAGTTGCAGATGGTCTCAAATGACATTTTCTGAATGAAACAGGACACGCTTATTATTATTGGAACCATGTTTCTCTGAACAGTTGGGTAAGATAAATCTTGATGTGCTGCCTATGTGTCCACTGCCCTTCATCAAAGTTGAACTACTGAGAAATTGGAGTTGAAGGAACAGTGGCTGACGGCATGTGCTGGGATGCAAGTAAGACATTACACTTTGGCCATAAGGAGTTTTGGTATTTTATGTATACCTCTCCCACAAGGATTAGAGATGACTTCGTGGTCTAGGAGGAACAGGTATGTAAAGTGACAGTGTGGTGTGTGTGAGTAAAAGTGGGTAGATAGGGTCAAGCCATTGCATGAGCCTGTACAAGGCGCAAGCAGAGTTATTAACTAGAATTTGGCAAGGAAGCTGACCTGGAAGGATCCTAGGGAGTATGTTAGGGAGGAACATAGCATGGGATGTGATGACAGCTCACTTTAGACGTATGTGAGGGCACCAGCTGGTGTTTCAGTTTATTTAACAGACCAGTGGTGTGGGCTGTGCCTCGCCTACTCTGTAAGTGGTATGTTAAAAATGGCCTCAGAGGTGTTAATCGTTATTGGCTGGGCATAGTGGCCATGTCTGTAATCCTAGCACTCTGGGAGGCCGAGGTGGGAGGATCACTTGAGCCCAGGAGTTCCAGACCAGCCTGGCCAACATAGTGAGACCTTGTCCTTTTTTTGTTTTTTGAAACGGAGACTCACTCTGTCTCCCAGGCTGGAGTGCAGGCTCATTACAACCTCTACTTTGCAGGTTCAAGCGATTCTCTTGCCTCAGCCTCCTGAGTAACTAGAATTACAGATGTGAGCCACTGTGCCTGGCCAAGACCTCGTCTTAAAAAGTAAAGTTTAAAACATATTTGGACAGATGCGGTGGCTCACACCTGTAATCCCAGCACTTTAGGAGGCCGAGGCGGGCACATCACTTGAGGTGAGGAGTTTGAGACCAACCTGGCCAACATGGCAAAACCTCGTCTCTACTAAAAATACCAAAGTTAGCCAGGCATTGTGGAGCATGCCTGTAATCCCAGCCACTTGGGAGGCTGAGGCAGGAGAATTGCTTGAAACCGGGAGGTGGAGATTGCAGTGAGCCAAGATCGTGCCATTGCACTCCAGCCTGGGTGACAGTGAGACTCCATCTCAAAAAAAAAGGCATTATTTCTCAACTCAGAAATCATGCCATTTTGTAGATGAATTTAAAAAGGTGTAAACAGGAAGTGATAGTATGGGACACGTTTAAAAATGAGGACAATTGGCTGGGCACAGTGGCTTACACCTATAATCCCAGCACTTTGGGAGGCCAAGAGATCACTTGGGGTCAGTTCGAGGCCATCCTGGCCAACATGGTGAAACCCCATCTCCACTAAAAATACAAAAATTAGCCGGGTGTGGTGGCACATGCCTATAGTCCCAGCAATTCAGGAGGCTGAGGCAGGAGAATCACTTGAACCAAGGAGGCAGAGGTTGCAGTGAGCCGAGATCACGCCACTGCACTCCAGCCTGGATGACAGAGCAAGACTCTTGTCTCAAAAAAAAAAAAAAAAGTAAAAAAGTTAGTGGGGCCTGAGCACAGTGGCTCACACTTGTAATCCCAGTACTTTGGGAGGCTGAGGCGGGTGGATCACCTTAGGTCAGGAGTTCAAGACCAGCCTGGGCAACATGGTGAAACCCCATCTCTGCTAAAAATACAAAAATTAGCCGGGCATGGTGGTTCATGCCTATAATTCCAGCTACTCGGGAGGCTGAGGCACGAGAATCGCTTGAACCCAGGAGGCAGAGGTTGCAGTGAGCCAAGATCATGCCATTACACTCCAGGCTGGGCAACAGAGTGAAACTCTCTCTGTCTTAAAAAAAAAAAAAAAAAAAAAAAAGGGAACACTAATAGAACTTGTGTTGCCAAGTGGGTCCTGGCTTTCCCAGCACCATCAGCTCACCCTGCCCATGTGGGTTCACGTGAAGAGACCCTGGCCATTTGTCCTGACTGAATCTCATAAAGCACACCTATACTCATCAGGATTGGGGCACAACTCTACAAAATAAACTGCCCTTGTTGTAAATATCATACCTTGCGATGTTTTTTATAGCTGTTTGTCAAAACCCTGAACTTAACTCTTCTCCTAGCCCAGAGAAATTGGAGATGAGGAAACAATAATTTCTTACAGTTCAAACATGAAGTTAGGCAAATTGGTATATGCATCCAGACTTCATTATTTATGAAATAATGATTTCAGTTTTTGATTCCTAGGATCGATTAATCATTTATTTATTTATTTATTTCAAAAGAGTCTTGCTGTGTTGCCAGGCTGGAGTGCAGTGGTGCAGTCTCAGCTCACTGCAACCTCTGCCTCCTGGGTTCAGGCGATTCTCCTGCTCAGCTTCCCATGTAGCTGGGACTACAGGTGTGTGCCACCACACCTAGCTAATTTTTGTATTTTTTTTAGTAGAGACGGGGTTTCACTATATTGTTGGCCAGGCTGGTCTAGAACTCCTGACCTCAGGTGATCTGCCCACCTTGGCTTCCTAAAGTGCTGAGATTACAGGCATGAGCCACCACGCTCGGCCATTCCTGGGATTATTTAATAAGTCATTTTTGCAGCTTTGCTATTATAGCAGGGCCTTTCTGTCAGAGATGGTATATATTCTGTCAATCCGGAGCTTCCATTTTTCATTAAAATGAGTTCCACTTCCTGAGAGTCCTGCAGTCTTCGAATGTCGTTATCCTTAATGTGGAAAAGAAATTATATCATACTTAATAAATTTGAATGTAATAGAAAGACTTAATATTAATATTGTTCAGCATCTTGGGTTCTGAACCCATATTTTTTTTTTCTTTTGAGACGGAGTCTTGCTCTTGTCACCCAGGCTGGAGTGCAATGATGCAATCTCAGCTCACTGCAACCTCTGCCTCCTGGGTTCAAGTGATTCTCCTGCCTCACTTGCTCACTGCAACCTCAGCCTCCTGAGTAGCTGAGATTCAGACACACGCCATCATGCCCAGCTAATTTTTGTATTTTTAGTAGGGAGGTTTCACCATGTTGGCCAGGCTGATCTTGAACTCCTGATTTCAGGTGATCTGCCCACCTCGGCCTCCCAAAATGCTGGGATTACAGGTGTGAGCCACTGCGCCCGGTCACTATAAGACAGTTCTGGTGTTTTGGTTTTTTTGTTTTTTGTTTTTTGTTTTTGAGACAGGGTCTTGCTCTGTCACGCAGCCTGGAGTGTAGTGGCACAGTCACAGCTCATTGCAGCTCCAACCTCCTGGGCTCAAGCAGTCCTTCCACTTCCACTGCAGCCTCCCAAGTCTACCACACCCAGCTAATTTTTGTATTCTTTTTGTAGAGACAGGGTTTCACCATGTTGCCCAGGCTGGTCTCAAATTCCTGAGCTCAAGCAATCCACCCACCTCAGCCTCCCAAAGTGATGGGATTACAAGCATGAGACACCACACCCAGCAGATTTTTATTGTTAAGGTATCTGGAAGGCATGATCATCCCTTGACATGTTTACAAGGAATATACACTATCAGCCAAGACGCCAGTAAGAATTGCCAAAGGCACAGCAGCTCACCACCTGTTATCCCAGTACTTAGGAGGGTGAGACCAGGGGTTTGAGAACAGACTGGGCAATATAGCAAGACCCATTTCTAAAAAAAAAAAAAAAAAAATTAACAGAGCGTGGTTGTGTGTCCCTGTAGTACCAGCTACTCTGGAGGCTAAGATGGGAGGATCACTTGAGCCGAGGATTTCGAGGCTGCAGTGAGCTATGATCATGCCATTGCGTTCCATTGTGGGTGGCAGAGTGAGACCCTGTCTCAAAAAAATAAAAAACAAAAAAATTGCCAAAGGCATTTTGAAAGCTTTAAAGAAAAATTTTCAAAGAAATAAGATTTCCTTTCCAAAATTAAAAATTAAGATCTGTATTTTGAATCTGGGAAATATATAAAAATGCAAAACAATTTTTGTTTGCTAATATTTCAGATGCTTAGCAAACCCACGCTTTGCTAAGCAAACAAGGACGGGTTTGTGTTTTCTTTCCTGAGGACTATGTCATTTTATGTTAACCAGTCAGTTTTGCAGAGATCGGTAGGGCCAAAAGCACTGAACTAAAGTCTTAAATTGGGGAGTCACTTGTCATTCAGAGGTTTGTTTTTTTTTTGAGACAGAGTCTAGCTCTGTCACCAGGCTGGAGTGCAGTGGTGCTATCTCGGCTCACTCACCGCAACCTCCGCCTCCTGGGTTCAAGCAATTCTCCTGCCTCAGCCTCCTGAGTAGCTGTGATTACAGGCACCCACTGCCATGCCCAGCTAATTTTTGTACTTTTAGTAGAGACGGGGTTTCACCATGTTGGCCAGGATGGTCTCCATCTCCTGACCTTGTGATCCCCCCACCTCGGCTTCCCAAAGTGCTGGGATTGTACTGGCGTGAGCCACTGTGAACGGACCATTCAGAGGTTTTCAAAAGGTTTATGGATTAGATGTGCAAATCTTAAAAGCGCGGGATTGAAAATGACCTAGCTACCATGTTTGGTTATTCTGCAGCCAGGATTTCTGGTGTCATGAAATGCAAAAGTGTAAACGATTGGCTCCGAGAACATGATGTCACCCACTGTGATTCTGCATTTAGAAACTCTTAACCCTTACCTTTCTGAGCAGTGTGTTTGGTAGCTTTCTGATCTTTTCCACTTGTTCTGGGTTAATCCCCAGTTCACAGCAACTCACTTTTAGTAGGTTTTGGTAACTCAGTTCTTGCCTCTTCAGTTCAATTTCAATGAAGTCATTTTCTTTGGGGTTCTGAATTCTGACTTTAAGCACAAGCTCTAAATCACCCATAAATTCAAATACAATTTGTAAAGGAAACAAAATACCTGTTAGAGATTTTCATATCTATTATTATGGCATAAATAATCCTAAAAACTGAATGTTAAGTAGACATGGAGCTTTCAGGGGCACATACACACTTTGCATTAGCTGAGGCTTCTTTTCTTGGAGTGTTGGGCAAGCTCCAGGATGTATGCCCCCATTATATCCACTGAAAACAGAAAGCTTGCAGCTTTAAGCCAGCCAAGGATTTAAAATATGCAATGGATATTTAAACACATCACCCTTGGGCAATACATAGCAGGCGCCCATACCTTATCTGGTAAGCTTCAGGGAAATGTATAGCCCTGGGGGCCCTGGTGTCCTTAAAGAAGCTACTGTGCAGAGGAGCAAATAGCTCTTGAGATTCCTACCCACCACCCCCACTCCTCCAGAAATAGGATAATTCTAGCATCTTTTAGGACAGTGGCATTGTATTCCAACTTAACTGTCCTGAGAAGATACAGTATGAACTAAAAGTCCAAATGGAAACCAGAATGTCAGTTTGGCTTTGCTACATGGTCACGTAGGGGCTGAGTCTTCACCTAGACAGATGTCGTTGGGTTTCCTGTTATCACTTGGATCCATTGGCAAGTGTGGATCTGTGCCTTGTTGTTTATATTCACTGGCGAAAGAATCAGGAGAGAGCTGAGAAGGAGCAGTACCTCACCAGTTGGCTGTCCGCCAGACAAAGGACAAGGATGCCCCACTTCCATTTCCTGCCCTGCAGCTTATCCTCCCCTTCTCAAGGGAAAAGGCAAGTCAGGAAAAGGGCAGTAATGACTTTCAGTCTTGAAGAGTAATTTTCTTTAATCACCACCCAAATCATGAAAAGGAGCTGAGACAGTATTTTTAAATGGTGCGTAATCTGGGGAAGAAATATTTATAATCTCTGTGCTTAGCTCAAGTTTTTACTTAAATATTTTTGGCACAGAGTGCTTTATGTCTTCAGTTCTCTAGCAGAGATACACAGTGAGGAGGGTGCCTTTATAAGGAGAAATTTTCTCACCCAGAGGGAAGGGAAAGGAGTGAATATTTAAAGTGCTTTGCATATGCCAGGCCTTTTGCGTACTTCTTTCTTTCTTACAATATCCACTGAACATGTTGAAAGCCTGCTTTGCACCAGGCACTGGGCTAAGGCCTGGGGAAATAATATTCAAAAATCCCAAAGAGATCTCTGTCCTCCTGGAGTTTGCAGGTTAGTAGAAGAGACAGATGTTAATAAATGGGAAATCACAGTTGTGGGGGGCATGATGAATGTGCAATACACAATACTTTGAAAGCATGTTAGGGGTCAAGGGAGGCCTCCGTGAAGGTTGATTATTGGAGCTGACATCTGAAGGATGAATAGGCTTAACTAGATCCAGAGGGCAGAGGAGGTGAAGAGCTTTTCACAGGACCCTGTGGAGAGTTCAGGATGGCTGCAGGGCAGAGAGCATAGGGGGACTGAGTGTCAGACAGGCTGGCAGGGGCCAGTTAGTCCAATTACGTAGCTCCTTGTCACATGAGATAAGATACGCAATAAGGTAAAATATACCCTGGATTTTGGAGGCAATAAAAAATTTTCATACTTATATGTTGATATAATGATTTGTATATAGTGGGCGAAGTATATTATTAAAATTAGTTTCACCTGTTTTTACTTTTTAAAACGTGGCTACTAGCAATTTTAAATTACATATGCGACTTGCGTTACATTTCTATTGGGCAGCATTGGTCTAGACGAAAGGTTTTGGTCTTTGTCTTAAAACACCACCAGGCCATTCTAGTTTTTAGCAGAGAGCTGTCATAATCAGACTTGAATTCTGGAAAAGAGAAAATCCTCACTGTCCGCAAAAGAATCTTGTGGGGTATGGACATTATTATTTTCATTTTCAGACAGGAAAATTGAGGCTGAAAGGGGAAGTAATTTCTTCAGGTTGGTAAATGGCCAGACATGGATGTGACCAGGGCCAACTACATAATTTGCAGAGCCGAGTGCAAAAGGAAAATGAAGAGGAAACCAATTTCCCCTTCTCACAGCCGCTGCTGCAACCCAGGGCAAATGGGTGACGCCCAAGGTATTGCGACCTCCCCACTGGAACGCGCCAACTAGCTGGATGGGGGTGGGTGAGTGTGTCCAGGGCTGCCTGCCACTCCTCAACTTCTGATCCTTGTTTTGCCTGGGCAAAGGTGACAGCGGAATGAGGGACTCTGGCAGAGGGTTACAGCAGTGGTGGGGCTGGTCTGGGTGTGGAGACCATACGCATGAGCTGAGGCTCCAACTCCCAACCCTGGCACATGCTCCATTGTCCCATCTGACTCCACTCACAAAACACGTTCAAGGCTAAAATTATGATACATTTCAAGTCAACAACCACAGAATGTTGAACCCCAAGCCAGGGCCTTTCTGAATGCAAGGCCCTGGGCAACTGCACTGATTATAGCCTTATGAAGTCAGCCCTGTTTGTGCCACCCTGCCAAATGCCTCCAAGGAGATGAGACGCTCCTGCCCAACTCAGCCCCTTCCCAGAACAGGAATAATGTCCCCTCCCCTAGTGAGCGGGGATCTGCAGTCTTCTCTTTGCCTTTCAGTGCTGGACCCTGGAGGTGGCTCAGGGCTGTGGCCCCTTCTCAGGCAGCCCCTGTAGCAGCTGGGCCGCGGCCCACCTGCCAGTACCTGACCTGATACCGATACCTGATACAGATACCAGTACCTGACCTGAAACGAGGCCTTCCTGCCTCACTGCTAACTCACCCAACACACAGCCCGAGAACTTTCCCTGCCCCCTCCACTAGGTTTGAAAGCATTTTATTCTGTGATCAGTGTCCAGCTCTGTGAATGGACAGGGTCTCATAGAGGTCACAAAGCATGCCCTTTGCACTCAGGCAGATTTGGGTGTGAATTCCTCTGCCACTTGGCAAATTTGATACCTTGGGCAAGTTATATACCCTCTCTGATCTGAAAATGGGGTTAACCATCCTACCTCACCAGATTGTAAGAAGTCGATGACAAAGTACACAGAAGGTACAACTTCCTAGCAGTGGTAAGCACCAGTAATTGCCGGCTGCTATTATTATTTATTGTAGCTATAGACACTTGCTTCCTTCTGAAAGGACATTTGGTCTAGTTGCTCTGCTTTTCACTACCCCACTGGCAGAGTGGGGGAGGACACGGGGCACTGCTGGAAACAGCCTCACCCCTGTCCCAGCCTTCCCCAGCCCCCTGCCCCATCCTCCTTGAGGACCATGTTGGGAACAGGACTCCCAGACTCACCTGCTGGCTTCTCCCCGATATCCTGTTCCGGTTCAGCCATGAGTCACCTCAGTAGTCCGTCAGATGTGCAGCCCCTCTCGCATTTATGCACAAGCTCCCAACCAAATAAAAAGCACTTTCTACAGCCTCAGCACACCTGTCTGCAAGGCAACAACAGTGTGTTCTTGCCAGCCCAGTGAGATAGCGCAGGGTCATTTTTATTTTATAGACAGGGAAAAGGAGGCTCCAGTGTGTGGCATGATTTGCACAGGGTGAGGCCAGTGAAGGAAGGTACTGAAGTTCAAGGCTCCAGACTCCCTTCTTAGGCTGTCTCCACTGGAAGATGGTGCAAACCAGTAGTACCCACCCAAGGGAATGGTGCCCTTCAGAGGGGAGGCCTGAGAGGCACAGCAGGCACCCAGCCAGACCCGAGAAGGGGGCCAGCACCTCCTTGGAAAAGGTTGGTAGCTTCTTCATCAGGGGTAAGAAAAACCAAACACTTTGTTTCTTGGTTTGAATGGAATCTTCCTCCCCATTTCGCTGTCTTTTCTCCCAGCCCCTTCCTCAGCAGCTGTGCATGACAAGAAAGAAGCAGAAAGACCCTTCCTTACCTGGGAAAATGACCTTGTTGATGATCCTGGATCCCCTGATTCTAGACATCAAAATGGAGGAGGCAGAGGCTGGAGCAGGAGGTTCAGTGAAGAATGGGTGGGGCCGGTCAAAGTCCCCAGTGAGGCTGCTGCCTCAAAGGCAGCCTGAAGACAGGAGGAGGTGCACAGATAGGAACCCAGATGTTCGGGTGACACTCACATTTCATTTAACCCTCCAATGACAAAAGACGGGCAAACAGACGGGGCATCAGGGTGGGCCTCAGCATCAAAAAACTAGAGGGAGCTGGCTGGGCGTGGTGGCTCACGCCAGTAATCCTAGCACTTTGGGAGGCTGAGGTGGGTGGATTGCTGGAACTCAGGAGTTCGAGACTAGCCTGGGCAACTCGGTGAAACCCCGTCTCTACTAAAATACAAAAAATTAGCTGGGTGTGGTGGCATGCGCCTACAATCCCAGCTACTCAGGAGGCTGAGACAGAAGAATCACTTGAACCTGGGAGGCAGATGTTGCAGTGAGCCGAGATCGCACTATTGCACTCCAGTCTTGGCGACAGAGCAAGACTCCATCTCAAAATAAATAAAAAAATAAATAAAATAAAAAAAACACCAAAAAAAACCCCCAAACAACAACAAAACAAAACAAAACAAAACAAAACAAAAAAAGCCGGAGGCAGCTATGGAGATCGTAGCCCACTGGCTCTCAAACGTGGTGTGCATTGAAGTCACCTGGGAAGCTTTAAAAACTGTGGATTCCCAGGTCCCACCCTATAAAGAGTCTGATTTAGTTGGTCTGGATGCAATCAGAGCCCCAGAACATTCAAAAGGTTCCCAGCTGATTTCAATGTGCAGCCAAGACTGTGAACCACTGGTTTGGCCAAACTGCTTAAAGGAGCAAACAGGGAAACTGAGGCCTTAGGAAGTGAAATGTTTACCACTAGTCACGTGGCCAGTCAGGCACAGGCCTGGCACCGGACCTGGGTCACCTGGCTGCCAGGCTGACGCTGTCTTCCCAGAACGCTGGTGTGTCTTTCTGCAAGAACAGGGGAAGGGTGGGGTGGGGCAATGGAGAGGCGGAAGTAGCAGGGATCCCCTGGCCCGGACTCTGAGAAAATGCACTTTGGCCAGCCTGGCTGCCAGGGTGTGGTCAGCCATAAAAAAGGCATCCTGGGCCTCCTCCCCTGAGTGGGTGTGGCTACAGGTGCAGGGAAACTGTAGATGAAAAGGTCTGGCACTTGAGGGGAAGCCTCAGTTCATTCTCACTTTGCTCACCTGTTCAGTCCATTCATTCACTCACTCCCTGTTCACTGATTCACTCATTCACTCACATGTTCACTCAACAACACTCATTTTTTTCTTATTTAGGGGAACACACTTTCTTCTTTTAATTTATTTTAGTTTTTGAGAAGGAGTTTCACTCTTGTTGCCCGGGCTGGAGTGCAATGATGGGATCTCAGCTCACTGCAACCTCCATCTCCCAGGTTCAAGCAATTCTCCTGCCTCCGCCTCCCTATAAATAGCTGGGATTACAGGTGTGTGCCACCGTGCCCAGCTAATTTTTGTTTTTTTTTTAGTAGAGATGGGGTTTTGCTATGTTGGCCAGGCTGGTCTTGAACTCCTGACCGCAGGTGATCCACCTGCCTCAGCCTCCTCAAGTGCTGGGATTACAGGTGTGAGCCACCGTGCCTGGCCTTTTAATGAATTTTAATGTTTAAAATTAAAGTATTACATGTTTTAGTTAAAAAAAAAAATCTACTGGTACTAAAAATCAAGGTCGATTAGGAAGGAAGAAAGCAAAGTGTGTTGGGGGGACAATCAACTGCCACACAGGCCTTGTCATGTGACTTGTTCCATTCATTATGCTGGGCATTTAGTGGGCCCTTTTACCCATGTATTAGTTTTGCGTGTGTGTGAGCCTGTGAGAGGCAGCTTTTAATTCTGATATAATTTCAAACTTACAGAAAGTCGTGCCAGGAGTAGTGGCTCATGCCAAGGTGAGAGGATTGCTTGAGCCCAGGAGTTCGAGACCAGCCTGGCCAACATGGTGAAACTCCATCTCTACAAAGAATAAAAAAAAAAGAAAAAAAAAAAAAAAAAAAAAAAAAAAAAAAAAAAAAAAAAAGGAAATAAAAAAAAGAAAGAGCTTTTCTTCTCATCCATTCATTCATTTATTATCATTGTGAACTCATGGATTCTTATTTTATTCAGTGGGTCATAATCCATCACTATCATGATCTATTTTGATGCTTTAATCATCCCAGCGTTGTCCAGCATTCTGTCCTAACAGCTGTTTCCCATATCCTTTGACATATCCCCATTATTTTGTGAGCACTTTCTTTTTTTATTTTATTTTTTAGTCAGAGTCTTGCTCTGTTGCCCAGGCTGGAGTGCTGTGGTGCGATCTCAGCTCACCGCAACCTTCGTCCGCCTCCTAGGTTCAAGCAATTCTCCTGGCTCAGCCTCCCGAGTAGCTGGGACTACAGGCATGCGCCACCAGGGCCGGGTAATATATTTTGGTGTTTTTAGTAGAGAGGGAGTTTCACCATGTTCGTCAGGCTGGTCTCAAAATCCTGACCTCAAATGATATGCCCTCCTTGGCCTCCTAACGTGTTGGGATTACAGGCGTGAGCCCCTGCACTCGGCCTGTGAGCGCTTTCTTATTTCCTGGCACATCAAGACGTTCTGGGTTCCATTGTACTTTCCCTGCCCCAGCCCTGCAATCAGGCCTTTCTTCAAGGAGCCAGGTTCTTTTCCATGAGGCACAGGTGTGATCATTCCCATGGAGATGTCAGTGTTTCTAGGCTGTTCCCGTGTGCAGAGCTAGGAGCACACATGCACACGTGCACATACGCACATAAACACATAAACGCATAAACGCGTGCATCTATTTCTGTATATAGATATATGTTTTAAAATCAATCTAATTTATTTAGTTTCCTCTTTTATGTGTGTGTGTGTATTTAAGAGAACAACTTCATATTTCCATTTCCATTCCAACACCGAAGGGTTCTCCCTTGCTGGCTTGCTTGCCTTCTTTTCTTCCTCCCCCTTTCTCTTTCTTTCTATTTTAAACAGCAGAAATTTATTCTCTCACAGTTGTAGAGGCCAGAAACCCAAGATCAAGATGTTGGCAGGGTTGATTCCTTCTGGAGGCTCTGAGAAAGAATCTGTTTCATGCCGCTCTCCTGTTCTGGTGGTTGCCAAAATCCTTGGTGTTACTGGCCTAGCTGTCTCCAGTTTCATATTGAAACTCTCTTCTCCCAAGGGTGAAATCTGGCTCCTAATGTCTTTGATACATTTACTCCTTTGCTCAGTCCAATACACAGAAAGTTTCAAAGAAGAATTGTTCATTTGAAATATATTTAGGTTCATTGTTTCTGTTTGTATATGAGGAATTTTCCCAGTTGATTTTATTTATTTATTTATTTATTTATTTATTTATTTATTTATTATTTAAGGCAGAATCTTATTCTGTTGCTCAGGCTAGAGTGCAGTGACGTGATCTCAGCTCACTATAACCTCCGCCTCCTGGGCTTAAGCAACTCTCGTGCTTCAGCCTCCTGAGTAGGCTGCACCACCATGCCCGGCTAATTTTTGTGTTTTTTGTACAGACAGGGTTTTGCCATGTTGACCAGGCTGGTCTCGAACTCCAGGTCTCAAGCAATCTGCCTGCCTTGGTCTCCCAAAGTGCTGGGATTACAGACATGAGCCACTGTGCCTGGTCAATTTATTATTTCTTGAACATATTAATCATTAAATGGTTCTGTAGGTAGAGTCAAAACATTGATATTTTAAAAAGTGTCGTTTTACTTTTTTATCCCTTCCATTTCATCCCCATCTATTTATCCCCTGTAGGAAACTAATCTCACTCGTTTCTGACTTATCCTTTTTATGTTTCTTTTTGCAAAATTAAATAGATACGTTTTTGGCCAGGCGTGGTGGCTCACGCCTGTAATCCCAGCACTTTGGGAGGCCGAGGCGTGTAGATCACGAGGTCAGGAGTTCGAGACCAGCCTGGGCAAGATGGTGAAACCCCAGCTCTACTAAAAATACAAAAATTAGCCAGGCGCAGTGGCGGGCACCTCCCAGCTGCTTGGGAGGCTAAGGCAGGAGAATCACTTGAACCCTGGAAGCGGAGGTTGTGGTGAGCTGAGGTCACGCCACTGCACTCTAGCCTGGGTGACAGAGCAAGGCTCTGTATCAAAACAAAAACAAAAACAAAAACAGTTTTTTTCTTATTCCTTTCTTACACAAAAGATGCTACATATAGTCTTTTCTACTTTGCCTTTTTTTCACAAAATAATATATCCTGGAAATCATTTCATATCAGTTCATAGAGACCTTTCTCACTTCTCTCATCCAATAGTGTGGCTATTCTGTAGTTTATTCAACAAATAGCCTATGTATAGGGATTTAGTATGTTTCTGATATTTTGCAATTACAAACAATGCTGCAATCAATACTCTTGTGTCTATGTATTTTGTATTGTGTATCTTCTGGGTAAGTCCCTAGAAGTGGGATTGGTGAGTCAAAAAGCACAAGGCTGGGTGTGGTGGCTCACACCTGTAATCCCAGCACTTTGGGAGGCCAAGGTGGGGGGGATCCCTTGAGGTCAGGAGTTCAAGACCAGTCTGGCCAACATGGTGAAACCCCATCTCTACTATAAATACAAAAATCAGCCCGGCATGGTGGCAGGCACCTGTAATCCCAGCTGCTCGGGAAGCTGAGGCAGGAGAATCGCCTGAACCTGGGAGGCAGAGGTTGCAGTGAGCCAAGATAGAGCCACTGCACTCCAGCCTTGGCAACAGAGCAAGACTCCATCTCAAAAAACAAAAAAACAAAAAAACAAAAAACAGTAAGCACATAGGTAGTTTTGTTAGACATTAAAAATTTTTCCTTCATGAAGTTTAACCATTCTGCATTCCCACTAGGCATGTGTGAGAGTGCCTGTTTCCCCAGAGCCTCACCAACAGTGAGTTGTCAAGATTTGTATTTTTTGCCAATCAGATGGTAAGAGATAGTATGTAAAATGTGGATTTGATTATTATCCAGGTGTGGTGAGACCAACAGATCCGGGGATGACTGGTAATGAAAAGATAAGTTTGTTGCTCGCAGTTCCAAGAGGAGGGGGCACACCGGGGCATGCAGGGCTACATGGCAAACACCAGGGTTGGTCAGAAGGCAGAGGGCGTGAGGAGAAACTGGGCAAAAGCCTGTCTTTCCTAGGAAGGAGATGGGTGAGGCAGGATAAGCAGATTTAGGATTGGTTAGTTTGAATAATTTCAATGGGCTCTGGGGTCCAGGGGCTGTCCTAGTTGTTTGGTACTTAGCCGCGCAGTGA